GTATTAATGAAGTATGCAAGTGCCCGAGACAGTAGGTAAAAACAAGGACAGAAATTTATTATTACTGCATGGATTTCTCTAATTTATCTGTTAACAATCTTCCTCTTCTTTCATTCTTCAAATCACTACATGTATAAGCACTTAACATGACTACAAATGTATGCTAATTTAAAAATGATTAGGAACATAAAGAAAAGCATAGAAAATAACATCCCACCACCAATACAGTGCTAGTCAGGCATGATAATCCTATAATCCTATAATCTCAGCACTTAAGAGGCCAAGAAGGAGGACAGCAAGTTCCAGTCACACTGAGGCAAATCAGTAAGACCCTGCCTCAAACACTAAAATATAAAAAGGGCTGGGGATGTAGCTCAGTGCAAAGGCCCTGGGTTCAGTCTTCAGTGCCCCCCAAATATGTATGGCTATTTTAGACATTTTTAAACTTCGTATAAGTGGTATCAGGTTGTCCACATCATGCTATACTTACCTGTTGGAGATCACTACAAAGTGGCTTGAGAGAAGGATTTAATATTAACCAACTGGCTTTCCGTGTTTACTGGTGAGTTGTCTGAAGGCCACAGCTGAGCATGTCTGGCTCCAACCCCAATTAACTTGAAGGAGACTGTAGCTGCAGGCATCTCACTCCTGCTGTGAAGGCCTTCCTGGAGATAACATAGTTCTCCTAAATTAACATAATGTATTACTTGGAAGAGTCCTGCCCAGATTCCCGGGTTTTCTTGAGTATCCTCCTCCTTTGTTTGTAAACCAAATAAATAGGGGCCGCCCAGAGAAGTCTTTGGCTAAACTCCAAAAATGTTGAAATTGTAAGAGAGTTAGTCCCTCCTGGAGCCCTGAAATCATTGCCATTGTTTGATTTATTTAAGCCTTCGTGGTCCACTCCCTTGGGAGATTGTGGGCCTGATCAGCCTGCAATAACTTAGGGTTATTTAACCCGAATTTCAATACTTCCCTCTCCCAGATTCTCCTTTTGAGATTTACCCATGTTCATATCTGTAAATTTGCTAGTTACTTTAAGTATTTTATACTATTTGATTGTAAGAACCTACCATAACATATTTCTGCATTCTCCTGCTGATGGAAATTTGGGTTGTTTTCAGTTTTTCACTATTATGCAAATACTGCAACAAACATCTTTCTCAGGTGTGCTTCTTTGAGTAACTATGGGAGAGTTTCTCTAGGGCACAAATCCAGGACAGAATGGCAAGTTTCATAAGATACTCATTTATCAACATTACTCGTCATTTTCAAATTGTGTTTCAAACACTGTGGCATTGTGTTGGTGTTTTCGCTGGTGTGCCCTTCTAGGTTCTCTCTCAAGATAAAGTCTATTTAACATAAAATTTGTTATGTAACTCAATAGCTTGTAATATGTTTGCAGAGTTTGACATCCATCACCACAGCGTAACCTTAGAACATTGCAATGACACAGTGTTATTTATAAGTATAAATATACAGAAATCTATAAAGCTGGTTATGTGTTTTCCATAATACAATCATGGAACTGGGTGGGGGGAGGTGCAAGTTTGTAGAGTTTTCTTTGTTTTCAACCTGAAGTGTGAATAAATAGCTGGAAGGAACATTTCTACCTAGATTACAAAGCTACTTAAGTGCAGATTCCTGTTATTTGCTAATAAAAACTTTAATTCTTATTTATTTACCACAGAGGAAAATGGCTCAGAGCGCTATCTGAAGAGAATGGGAGGAGTCCTGCACCAGACAGGATTATAAATTATAAATAATTTATAATTATACATTATAAATAATTTTATAATATTATTTCACATATAATATTCAATATATATGTGAATGCTGTTCTTATCCAGCCACTAAATGCTTAAAATTGATGAAATTTTTCCACTTGGGTCTCATAAGAAACATCAGGTTCATGGACAACAATGTTGATTTTCTAGGTTGCCTTTTAGTCATCAGCCTCAGGACATCGCTTCCCAGCTGCGATAGATTCCTTTCATCAGCTACTTGGCGGCTTTCTAAAATTTTCTCCTTTCGCAGGTAGGGAAGGTACAGTCACGTATCATGATCTCACAGAGACGCAGCCCTGGCACCAGCCAGGCACCAGCCTCAGGGAAGCTGTGCCTCGTAACATCCAAAAACTTTACCCAAAGACTCCACAACATGATATTCATTTCTCTATTCACTCAGAGAGTTATTTATTTCTTTTTTTTTTTTTAACCTACAAGTTGCACAGGTAAAGCATCTGAGCCATTCTACGTCCCGCAACACGGGACGCTGGTGTCCTCCAGCAACGTGTCCTCCAGCTGGTGTCCTCCAGCAACGTGGCTGTGAGCATCACTTGGATCTCTTGCTTGCAGAGTCCTCTGTTGGGCAGAGGGGCTTGCACAGACCTCACTGCGGAAATGTAATAGATCTAAAACATAACCTGGAGATGACATTCTTGGGCTTTTTCAGGCTTTGGAATAATCCCACACTTGGCAAGCCCTGGAGTTTGGGTGAGCTGCAGTGGGTGAGAAAGCCCAAGGATGTTTCCATAATTAGTGGTGTTGCACCCTGGGCAGTAAAAAGATTGTGGTCTGCTGCAGGCCCAACTAACCTTGGGATTTGCAAAGGTGAAGGGCAGGTACTGAGGTATAAGACAGGCCTGAATTGCCAGGGCAAGGATTAACTCCAGCAAACAACCTGTTGGGTTCAGGGCAGAAAGCAAGTGAGATGGAAAAGAAGGAGCAAGGCAGACCCAAATTTCTCTTTCTTTGTCCGCTCCAGGAAAAGGCTGAGCTTTAGCCTCTTCCCAAATGAGGCAAAGTAACCTGGGAGTTGTTGGCCCATGAACAGGCTTAACTTACACCCCATTGCCTGAACTCAAATGTTACATAAGGTCCACAAAAACCACTGTTCCCTGAAGTGGTTTCAAAGCAGGCACTCCCAGACTTCATGTCCCACTTTTGTAGTTTCTGACCCAACTTGTTAGCAGGATAGGGCCCTGCTCACGCATCCTCCCTCCTGCCACTTCCCTCCACACCCAGTGTAACAGCGTGTGCACCTCTCGCTGGGGTCTTCTCTCTTCTCAGTGTCCACTGTGAGGTGTACCGCACTTGGAAACAAGGCCGGCATCTTTCTCTCTCATCTATTCCCTACAAGTTGCAAGGGTTCTAAGAACAGGATTATGATCAACTGCATACTCACACTTGGCTTCTCCTCAACTGCATATTGCAGATTAAATGCTTCTATACACCAATAATAATGCTAGCCACTTAGATATGGTAGTTATGTGTGAGGCACTATCTCATTTAACCCTAAAACTAACCCTTTCCAGGAAGCATCATTATTATTTTTAGATAAGGACACTGAGACCCAGAAAGTCTGGGTGTCTTGCTAAAGAGCATACAGTAGAAAGGACTGAGGTGGGGTTCAAATCCAGGTACTGTGATTCCACAGCAGTGGTGTATTATGGTGTGATGGAAGGCATAGCTGGTGGAAGCAGTCCACCCTGAGGACAGGCAAAGAGAATTTAAAATAATAATAAAATAATCAACTGGTGATCAGATAACTCTTTATTATCACCATGTGTTACGTTTTAGATCTAAGATGTCCCCCAAAATCTCATGTGTTTGAAAAGTGATTGGGTCATGGGGCACCATACTCATTGGTGGGTTCACAAACTGATGAGCTCCGTAGCTGAGTGTGCTATTAGAAGGTGAAGTGTGTGTGTGTATGTGTGTGTAGTGTGCTATTAGAGGCAGAGGCCAGGTTGGAGGTGATGGGTCACAGAGGGTGTGACTTGGAAGGGTGTGTTCTTTTCTCTTTTTCTGGCTGCCCTGGGCAGAGCAGCTGTCCTCCCGCAGGCCCGTCCACTGTGTTTCAGCTGACTTTGGATTGAACCCCCTGGAAACTAGGAGCCAAATAAGCTTCTCCTTTGTCATCGGTGTTGGGCATTTTGTTCCACAGACAGGATAGCTAATACACTAGGTGAGAGCACTTGTCAACCACTCAGTGATGAAATATTTCCTCCCCCGGTGGAGCACTCCCCTCACTGGTCTGAATACTGTCCTGTGTGCAGGTGTCGAGCCTAGCGTGGCCATGGCACAAATTAAGGGAGAATTCAGCTGAAACGCTGAGACAGGCAGAACACAATGATGGAAAGATCCTGAGCTCGCTCTTTTATCTTTTTAAATTATTGTGGCAAAATATACATAACATGAAATTTACCATTTTAGTCATTATGAAGTGTACATCTCAGTGGCACATTCATAATGTGATGCAACCATCACATTTCCAGAACTTACTCACCACTACAAACTGAAGCGCTGTACCCATTAAACAACAGCTCCCTACTCCTCCCACCTCCCAGCCACTGGGAATTTTTCTGTCCTTATGAATTTACCTCATATAGGTGGAATCATATACTATTTTTCCCTTTGTATCCAGCTTAGTTAACTTAGAATAATGTTTCAAGGTTTATCCATGTTGTAGGATGTATCAGAATTGTATTTTTACGTCTATATAAGAACCTGGGTTTGAATGTCCTCTTTAAGCCACCATAACCGAGGGCTGTTGTATTAAGTTAGATAACAACTGTGTCTATGTTGTAGCCATGTGACGATGGGTTTTTCTAATTGATGCATAAGGCAGAACTCAAATCCTCCTGGTAGAGTGGCAGATTACTCAAAGTGGAAACTCCCCAGCATGTGGCAGAATTATCCACAATTTCTCCAGGTGTGTCGATCTATATATACGTATGTGAACGTAAGTACATGATCATGACAACTGAAATCTTTACCTTTTTTTCAAGCTCAGCTTATCTATTTTGATAATCCCTTCTCACAATTGTTAATTTCAGTTATTTATCACTTAACATTTTGCTTTGTCCTAAAAAAAATTAAACTCCAAATTGGGTGAGACATTGCCTGGTGCTCTCTGGAGGAGTACAGATTGATGCTTCTTTTCAAGATGCTTTTCCAAAATCTTTACTGGAGTTAGAAATAATCAAGGATAGTCAAGGGTAAAGAATAAAAACATTTATTTATAAAATATCATCCAGCATCAATTTCAGCTTGGCAAGCATGAAGAGTGGGTGGTTAATGTTTTATTATTACGAGACATTTGAGATGCAGAGAGCATTATGGCACAAATGTGAATACTTACTAAAACTGAGAAAGAATGTGAGTAGTCAGCTACTATGACAAAAGGGATGTTAAGGTTAAGACAGTGTTGCCAGGCAATGAACATAACCTTCTCCTCCAATAGCGTTAACAGAACAGGAGGTTTGACTGACTGCAGGCATCACTACAACCTTTCTGGTTTGTGGTTTGAACAGGTGAATTGAACAAAGATAGGAGCAGACCCCAGCACTAGTGGGGGATACGGAAAGTTGGGGATAAAATGAAAGAAAAATTATAAAGGATGTCTTTTCTTGAAGATCCCTATGAAAAGTGTATTTTAAAAAACTGAGTAAGCAGGTACAACCTTTACTACGATTATAAAAGTATAATAGACAGCACTAAAAGTACTTATACAAAAATGTTCTTTCATTGTAAACATATATAAAGCCTTCTGCGACTATTATATATCACCTTACAGAATCCTATCTCTTTGCTTGTTGTTTTATCTGGTTTCCAGCTTTTTGCATCCTGCGAAAGGACAAAAGCCTTTAGAGACCCATCAATCCAACCCTTTTTTTCACAGATGGAGAGCAAGAAGGTTGTTCAATATCACATTCACTCCCAGCAGCAGACATTGGACTAGAATCACATTTCCTGCCCATTTTTCTCATTAGGTGACATGACTATTCTCTAGTTGGTCCCAGATCTGTGCTTGACATCACTTCTTCAATTTCAGATGGGCAGAAGAGCCGTGAGAGAAAGGAATAGGTATGTTTGGGGCCTCTCTGGATTGTTATGAGCCTAGAGCACTAGAAGAGGAGGTGATAAAATACAGCTCTTCCTTCCACTGCTTCTTCAGAAATAATCTACAACTTCCAAACATGCACGCATGAACAACCCAGGCCAGTAGAAGAGAAATATTTCCTGAGTAAAGCACTGTGTGTGAGGGAAACTTTTTAAAGGTTGTGAGAGAAGGTCCTGATTTTGATTTCATCAGCATTGTAAACATAGTCTGTCATATTTCTGGACGACAGGATCTGGAATGCTCTGTTACAGCACAAGGTGCCATAACAGGTGCCTCAAGAGTGAGGGTAGTTAGTCCTTGCGGAGCCATTTTCTTCTTTGTTCCTTTGAGAACAAAATTCAGAGAATGAAAGTGTTATTCACATTTTTCCAGGTTTATCATACTCCGTGTTGTTCAAGGTTCAGGACAAGGAACACTAATTGAGAGAATCCTTGGCAATAGCCATGAACTAGGAAAACCAAGAGAGGAAAGATGAAGCTGCAACAATCTCAAGTTTATTGAAACACTAAACATTCTCACTGTTCTATAGACTGTCCAGCCAGAATGTATCTTTCTCTCACTAGAGTCCTTTCTCCATCGGTTTCTATAAGAGTGAGCTCCTTTTTATCAAAACATTTCTTGGAAATTGCTTCCTACCTGATTAATGATTTGCATGGTCTGCAAAACAGAAGGCAGCTGTGTGCTGCCTACTTCATCTCAGGCAATAAATTGTCTTGGGGCCATCTTTCTTGTTTCCTTCCACATAGCTTGTTGCGTCTTATACACAGAATCCTGAAAAATTCTTTCTACCTGTGTAGAAAATCCATGACTTTCTTCTTCTAAGGCATTGATGGTTTGTAGCGCGAAGGGAGTCCTTTCCCGAGGAAGCGGGTTGTTCAGGGGCCGCATGGGTATAACAGAATTGTATTTGTGTTGCCTGTTCACGGAATTCATTAGAGATGTGTAGAACTGGAAATTACACCAAGTATCTCTTAAAAAGTTTTCAGTAAGTAATAAGATTGTCCATGCAGACCCGTTTACGGCATCATCCAAATTCTGTAAATGCTGCCTGCCGCATGGCATTTCAGCAAAGATTATTCCAGGCTTGATACCAAAGTCATTTTCTAGCAGCTCCTGGACTCTCAGGGCCTCATCCGTGTCGTCCTCTGCATGCAGGATCACAAATTTGAAGAACACCTCTTCTGCTTCTCCTTCGAGAAGCTCTTCTCCCACTTCGGCTCGCTCTTGCTCTCCTGTCTGCTCCTCTGCTGTATTGCTCTGTTCCCCAACATCGGACCAGGAGACAGCTTCAGGCTTCGCTGGTTGAGACTGCAGATGGCCTTGACTTGTAGACGCGCTGCGACTCTTACCCCAAGAGAAACAAAGAGGGAGGCTGTGTGTTTTAGACTTCCCAGTGCCCATGATATACATCCAGGACCGAAAAGGGTGGCTTTATTTATTTCTAAGCATTTCCTTTCAATCTAAAAGAAAAAAACAAAAAAACAAAGAAGCAGAATATTGTAAATTTAATCGAAACATTAAAAATGAAAAGTTTTGTCTAACTTGGAAAGCTCACGAAGACTAACACAGATACTAAGAAAGAAATGACAAACAGGTATTTGGAAAGTCAAACTATGAGTCTTCAGAGAGTTACACAAGGGCTACCACAGGCTGCCCAGAGTGAGGGCCCAGTATAATAGAATACGAGACATTTAGAAATTCAAGTGGTATTGTATTATATTATAAAGGTAGGTTAAAATAAAATATTTCAATATTTTAGTGAAAAGTAAACATACTATTCTATCCACATGATGTTTACAACTATGATCCCTCATTAAATTACTGTGTAAACTGGAAACAGGAAAATCTAAAGATACAGAATATTCTGATATTAAGAATGAATTTATCTTTGTATCAAACACAAACATAAGCTAGGATACAATACCCTAACGATGACGGACAATAACCCTACTGACTCAGCATGAAGCGAAGTGCTGAAATGTAAAACGAAATGATGCCCAGGACTCACTGGCTCTGAGACTTTTGTCTCTCTAGGGTCAGGCAACATTGTAGTGGTAGAACTAACTGGTAGAGGAGAAATTATAACTAGGATGTGTAAAAAGTAGTGAACAGCTTTTACCAGCTAACCCTAGAAATAACGAAGAAAATATATTTATTTACCTGAGGGGAGAATTAACATCTTGGTTTGGAAGCAAAGAATCTAGAAACTAAGACTTTCAATTTTCTCAGTGAAGTAAAAGATTGATATAGTCTATTTTTTGTTTGTTTGTTTTTTGAGACAGGGTCTCACTTTGTAGCCCAGGCTGGCCTTGAACTCATGGCGGTCCTCCTGCCTCAGCCTCTCAAGTGCTGGGATTACAGGTATGCACCACCATGCCTGGCTGAAAAATGATCAGTATAGATTATTTTATTATCAAAAATTCTAAGTTTAGACTGAAAGAATTAGGTCAGCTATGAAAGGTAATATGCCATGCAAATCTAATTTAAATAGCTCTTCAGAAAATGTTGGTAATAGTGCCCCAAATAAGCCATTTCAGGAGGATCTTATATCAAAACACAGAAAACTTAGAATAGATAAATATGGGCTTCATATTTTCAAATATGAGCCAAGGCTACATTTCGGAGCATTTTTTCCTTATTGTCCATTGGCAAAGACCAAAGTTCAAAAAGCAATCATAATTATATTCAGAATGACGTTAAGTAACACAGACACATATAACTAAAGAATTCACATTTAGGAGAAACTGTTTAACAAATGTGGTGAGAAGTGTTAGGAGAAAACAAGGGAAATGAGCCAGGTTGCTGCTGCCTCGGACTAAGGAAGGACTCTCTGGCGCTGCCTATCATTCACTAGGTCTATTCTTTAGACTGTGGATCCATTATACTGTACTGGTTAAGAGGTATTTCAAGACATACTAGTTCTAAAAATGTGATACCCACACATCCCAAAAAACAAAGCACACTAATTATAATCTTCTTCTTTGGTTAGAATTCATTGATGACTTTCATTACTACATTAGAAGAAAGGTTTTGCCAGCAAAGCTGGGAATGATGCTTTGCCTGCGTAAGAAACAACTGATGAACCATTCAGGTGTGCCTGTCTACATATTTCAATTAAAAGGCTCCTCATCTAGTGTTGAAATAGGTTTGTCAGAGCAGTTCGTCATTATCTTACTCACCAGTGAGTGCAGACAACTGTACTGGCTGTTCATAAAAAGTACAAATACTTACTTCTAAGATAAAATGGTGTTTCAAGCCAGATTATAAGGTTTTTTGAAATAAAAATGAAAAAATTACTTTGTCTTATTTTCCTAAATACTATACCAGTAATCAAAATAGGGAAGGTTTCAGACATCTATGATATGCTTGCTGTGCCAACTTCCAAGCCAGCTAGTCAGAACAGAGCGAATGCAGCGAGTGATAATGTCTGAGAAACACTGCTGTCACTTCTGATTTACAGAGGGAGAGTAAGAAGAGAGCTGAGAGGAAAGATGCGGAAACTTCTGTGCTGAGGATCTACCTTTGCTCCCATGACTGTGGCTCGAGCCGGTGACATGGGCATGACTCAACATTTTTCCCAGAGCTGGGGAGAAAGGAGAGGACCTCACGGTGCTTGCTCTGAGCCAACACCTCTGGCAATAAGTAAAGCCTCCCTACAACAGAAGGAGGGCTGGAGAGACGAGGGAAACAAAGAGGCTGGCAGAAAGAAGCCGGGAGAGCCTCCTGGAGAGGGCCGGTCCACAAGGGGACAGTCAGAAGCAGCTTTGGAACGCTGAGGTCTTAGCAGCTGTGCAGAGCTCAGTGGGAGGGGAGTGAGGTGACACTGGGGGGAGAGGCACCTGAGACCTGATCACAGCAGTAAAAGTGTGTGTGTGGATATATTTTAATTTACTTTAAAAACAGTGGTTGAAACTCATAATGACATGGAAAAGATTTTGAAAAGTCCCACTCCAACTACTACTTATGACTACTATATATATTCTTATTTTTCTTTCACTTTTTAGAAAGAGTGTTATCATTCATATATATGCCAAACAGCAGTAAACACTGATATATATCTATATATATGTCTGCATGGCCATTTCCCTTGATGTTTTAGCCTTAGAGTTTTCCATATCAGCACATAGAGAACTTCCTTACTCTTTTTTGCAACTACATAATCTCCTATTATGTGGACATGTCACAACTGTTCCCTGTTCTTGGGTATGTAGGTTGTTTTCTTTTTTTTTTTTTTTTTTTTTTTTTGGTAACAGGAATCGAACTCACGACCTCGAGGTTGCCAGGCAAGCGCTTGTGCCACTGAGTTATATCTGTGGCCTTGTAGGTTGTCTTCATACTACTAGTATTATAAATGAGTCTACAGTGAACAACTGTTGTACAAAGGTCATTTCAAATATGTGCAGGTTTATCTGTAGAATAATTCCCCTAAGTGAGATTTTATATCAAAGAACAAATACATTATTAATAGTAATAAATTTGGTCAAATTGCCCTCTGTAAGCCTGAGCCATCATTTTTGCTTCTAATGAGATAACACGATCCCACCTCTACTCCTTGTCCCACAAAAGATCTAAGACGAGAGGTACCAACTCCTATTGACCAAAGCTCCACTGAGCTGATCACATCCCCTCAAGCAAAAGAAATTTGGAAAATGTAACCTACCAGAATGGAACTCTTAAACAAGTTCAGAAAGGAAGGTCAGTGGCTCTGAAATAAAATGAAAGTAGAGTCCAGAAAGTGTCTATTTTAGATCCAGGCAAAAGGAGGTCCTAATACAATTCTCCACATTACATACAGGTCAGCTAGGGATGTAGATCAGTGGTACAGTGCCTAGCATGCACAAGGCTTTGAGCTCGATCTCCAGGAGCAAGCAAGCAAGCAAATAACAAGTGAAAAGAACAACATTACGGCAAGTATTCAAAAATATTACAGGAAGCAGAACAGAATATACAGAAGAATCATAGCATACAAAAGACAAATTAAAAATTGCATCTTCATTCAGGCGATGTACTCTTGAATCAGACTGCCAGCAGGCAAAGGGCAGAAATGGAGACAGGCAAGAAGAGAAGCAGAGAGGTAACAGGATCTGCCTGGTTTCCATAGGGTCACTGTGGTGTTTACTGAGGACAGAATGAAGGGAAGCTAGTGCAGAAGCAAGGATAGCAGCTAGGGACTGTGGGAGAAACCCAGTAGAAGGAACAGTGGCTTGGGGCAGGTGGGCAGCAGAGGAAGCAGTGACAAGGCGCTGAATTTAGGGTATGTTTTAAAAGAAAAATGGGGAGGATTTGATGATGCTGAGCAAGCTTTGAATGTGGAGTCTGAACTTGGCAGGAGGGGTCCAATCAGGAAATATGTAGCTGGGATTTATCTTTATATAGAATGCATTTGAAACTAAGAGACCACCTGAGATCATTAAAGAAGGAATATGGTAGAAAAAGAGGTCTTGGGGCTGGGGATTTAGCTCAGTGGCACAGTGCCTGCCTGGCAAGTGCAAGGTCATGAGTTCAATTCCCGGTACCAGGAAAAAAAAAAAAAAAGAGAAGAAAGAGGTCCTCAGGCTGAGTCCTAAGGCACTGAGGTCTAGAACAGGAAGAACCAGCAAAGTATGAGAAGAATGAGCAGCTGTCAGGAGAAGAATGTTCACCAGAGCAGTTGCCTTCCCATGCTTATGCCTGGCCCTTGAGCAGGATGAGCACTGAGCAATGGTCAGTGAATGCTGCAGTGAGGACGACAGCACCGACTGAGGTAAGAGGTGACTCGCAGAACGCTGGGGTGAAGGAAAGCGAATGCATGATGGGACAGCATTCAAAAGGAAGGGAGGAAATTTAGAAATAAATATAGAAAAATATTTTGAGAAGTTGTGTCACAAAGGAAAGAAGAAAATGGAGGGATAGGTGGAGAGGAAGTGCTGCTAGGAGTACGTGCTTTCAGGATGTTCATTAATGAAGGAGCGAGTAGAGACAGGAGAATCAGAGCGGCCGAGCAAAGCTGCGTGGGTACGGCTGGGTGGAGGATGCAGTCTGTGGAAACTCTCTAACTGCTCCATTTTTCTCAGCAAAACAGAAACTGAAAACCTTTTAAAGGTTGCCTCAAGCCTCGATCTCACTTTGAAACATGAGGAAAACAGGAGAGCGCCTTTGGGGCGCAGTTATCGTGTCTACATGGTTCTGACTCTTCCCAGGTCTCCTGTGCCCCTTCCCCAGACGGCTGTCGGGAGTACGGGGCCCACAGCCTCTCTTCCTGCACAGATTTTACAGGAGGCTCCTCGGGGCAGTCCCAGCTGCCTGCCGTCTCATTCTACCTAAAACTAAAAGCAGAAAATATCAATATGAATTTTTTCTTTTTT